CTGATAAGCCTGATAAGCCAAAAAAAGGATCCCAAACGGGCTCATAGCCTTCACAACTTGACAGTGGAGAAATGCATGAAACTAATTTGGAAAAATCTGTTTGTACCCACTATTGTACCCATTTTTGCACCCACCATGTCTGTGAGGAGTTTTCTTTTTGTCTGTGAATCCCGGTCATAGACAAAAATATGTCTATGAAGACATGATGGGTACAATAGTGGGTACAACAAGAAGAATACAACTAATTTTATACTTCACGCCTTCACGGTGTTACATAATCTGATTTTATTTGTTAATTGAACACCGAGTTGTCCTTGATACAGAAGTATGAAGTTCGAGTCAAATTTCACAGACTCCAAAAATTACATAGATTGACTTGTTGACTAGACCTGAGCATGAGTTCGAGTTGAGATTATTGAGTTATTTTATTCAAAAATATGATATTCGTAGTACATTAAACAAAGAGTTTAGTTTGTTATCACGTTTAATAGACATGCAAGCATCAATAATTTTTTAAATATAAAATCATTGTTTTAAAATCTGACCTAGTTATCAGGCTTATGATTACTCTATTTTTCGTCTTATCATACTCATCAAACAATTTTTTAACCAAACACGTACTCCCTCCGGTTTTTAATAAACTTCACACTTTCCTTTTTGGGACGGTCTAAAATAAACTTCACACTTCCTTATTTCTCTTTTTGGCAAAGAAATCTACATCAAAACAGTGTTAAACAGTGTCTCAACAGTGCCAAACAGTGTCTCAACAGTGTCAAACAATGTCAAACAGTGTCTCAACAGTGTACTCTACAGTAAAGTCAAATTTCTTTCCTTATTTTGTGTGAAGTCAAAGTGTGAAGATTAAATAAAACCGGAGGGAGTAATTTTTGATTTTGCGCACTGAATTGTGTAATAGTAAGAAAAAGTAACGTTTCAGGCTGTATTGGCTAGAGTTACTGTAAATAATCATTTTAGCTACTTTTTCATACATAGATGTTTCTTTATTTTATAAATAAAATACTCCCTCCGTCCCATTTATTTTGTCCCGTTTTACCTTTTCGGGAAGTCCCACTTATATTGTCCCATACCATATTTGACAAAGTTTGTGTGGCTATAAATCATTCTTACTTTATTCTTACTTTATCAATTAATATCAACCACACAAACCCACTTTTCTTAATAACCGTGCCACCTTCTTCCGGGACAATATAAATGGGACGGAGGGAGTATATTTTAAATACGGAGTATAATGTTTTCATAAATCAACAGAATCAGCCAATATAGCCACTTCAATCAAAACGTCGTTAATTTCAGTAGAATCAACTGATTTCAGTGTTACTAAACAGTCTCTAAGACAATATTTATAAATAGTTCCAAATATATAACCAAAATAAAAATATTGGACAAAGATTTGACATTGGTAGCTTTAGTAACTACAAATGTATTCAAATTATACATCACAGTGACAATAAAACTTATACATAATAACTTATAGTCACATTTTTGTCTACTCCCTCCGTTTCGCATCAAAGTCACACTTTTCTTTTTTGGATGTTTCAAAAACAAAGTCACACTTCCCTTATTTCCTTATTTAGCAAAGAAATCTACTTTCTAAATAGTGTCAAACAGTGTCTAAACAATGCCAAACACTGTCTAAACAGTGTTTTCTAAAGTAAAGTCAATTTATTTCCTTAATTCTAGAGAAGTCAAACCGTGACTATCTTAACGCTATTTTTATTAACGCTATTTTAAGAAAAAACTGAACTACTTATCGTTTATGATTTATTTAAATCTAAGATAAACCAAGTCTGATTAGTCATACTTAAATATTCTTGAATAATCATCTCAGAATGCTTAAAATCTGCGCAACCTTTTCCAACATTACATAAAATATAAATCAAGAAGTTGCAATATACTTGTATTTTTCAATATACAAATGAGAGCATTCACTTTTTCAATCCTCAAGGTATTTTCAACATCGACCATTCACACCAAAGGGACTACACTCTATCATAATAAAAAAATTATGAAGTCATATGTGACTCTCTTATAGAGTCAGACATAATAAAAAAATTATGAAGCCTTATGTGACTCTCTTATAGAGTCAGACAGGTATTGTGACATCATCCTCACCACACATTATTTTAGTGGATGCCCCCACTCAAATATACTATGTGATTTCATAAGAGAGTTACATATGGCTTCATAAAACTACTCCTATCATAATAACTTTAATATCATTTCTATTCTATTGAACATCGTCAACATTGTTTTGAATCGTGTTATTGAACATTGTTTATTTTGTTTTGAGTTTAAATAATAACAAATAAAGACTATGTGATCTATGTCTGTGCAAATGAGAGAAATAAATTGATATATGTACTTGCTATTTCAAAACGTTTTAAATTTTTTGGAACAAAGATAAAAGGAAAGTTGATGAGACGGTAAAGAGATAGAACAAGTATATGATTTATGATTTAAAACATTAAAACATTTTGATTTTTAAAAACGAGTAAGATAAATTGTTTTTATTGTTGGAATAAAGCCAAAGATTCATTGTTTTTTGCCTTGAGAATATGATGGAATAAAGCAAAATAGCTCACTAAACTGTCTGCGTTTCTTTGTTATGAAGCAGCAGCCAGTCCATTCAATTTTGGACGCGATTTTCACTATGGGTCATCCGGAAACAGTCTCTTTGTGCTTTAGTATAGGGGTAAGACTGCGTACATCCGACCCCCCCTTACCCCACCGTAGGTGGGAGCCTTTGCGGCACTGGGATAAATGAAAATGAAAGTAAGATAAAACATAGAAGTATGCTCCTTAACTTTTACTATATATGCTACCTTTGTCACATTTATGAGTCTTGATTTGGTAAAATTATTAATAAAGTATAAAAATAGTTGAAAAGGTAAAACTTAAACTTGTGATTGGTAATTTGAGTATAATAAAGTGAGATTCGGTGGATATGGGAGTAATTAATATTACATACAAATTTAAGAGAAAACTGTCAAATAGATCATTATACTCCGTACTTTTTCTTATCGTAGACCCTCGTACTTGTAAAATACCCAATTAAGTTTACGTAGTTAAAAAAACACCTAAATCGCCTTTTTAACAGGTTGTCAACAAGTAATCATGTTCTCCCCCCACCTCTTTGAAAACGGGTGGCGGGACCATCTCTTCGTTTGGGGACTACGGGCGACGGGAGTTAATGAAGATGCGAGGCAAATAGGGAGTGACGTATCTAGAAAATTAAGTGAGTGAGGGCAAGCTTACACTAGAACTAGGTCACATATTTCACAAATAGCAAATCATATTATTAATATCATTTGATTAGCTTTAGTTTAAGATATTTATGTACAAATATGTATAAAAAGAAGAGCAACTTATATTACGTGTGTGCAAAAATGCAATTTGTAGAAAAAAATTGAGAAACTATCTATATCGAAGTTGAACATAAAAAAATTTAGTGAATTTTTATCTTTTTTTATTCTAAAGACAATCATGTATCCTACATTGAATTAATATCTTTTAATGAGAGAATTTCTTATATAGACTAAAACATAAACAATCACATATATAGAACTATCATTATTTTCTTTCTAAAATAGTATTTATTCGATTTTAGTAGGAAAAATTTTATACTTTTAATAGGATTAAGTAAGTCCTATTTTGAAAATGAAATACACATAATCCTATATATGCATTATGTCTATGTTCTAGTATCATTTAGAGCAATTTCTTTCGTTAATTTATACTCCCTCCATCCCAATTTATTTTGCAAAATTTTCTATTTTGGTTGTCCCAAAATGGTTTTCCAATTTCTATTTTAGATATGTAAATAAAAGCAACGTGACAAATTCACCCTTACTTTTACTATTTTCCATCAACTTAAAGACATCTACTTTTAGAATAAAGGACAAACGTATAAAAAGGAATCATCATTTATTGTCATTCCTTAATCCTTGTGGCGGTCAAAGTTTGCAATTCAATTCGGGACGGAGGGAGTACGAAATATTTCGTAAGTCCACCTAGTGATGGGGTAGAGTCCACCTTGTGTAAAAAGGAATCATCATTTATTGTCATTCCTTAATCCTCCTTGTGATGGTCAAAAGTTTGCAATTCAACGGGATGGAGGGAGTCCGAAATATTTCGCAAGTCCTGATGGGGTAGAGTCCTCGTGCTTTCTTTTTTCCCCATAAAATCCAAACTTTATGAGTTACTATTCTTGATTATCATTATTACGTTATTAGGCCTACACAGGTCCCCCATCAATGCGTCCCATTATTGCAAATAGTATGAAAGGGGTGGTCACTTTTGGATAGATCATTGACACTAATGATTCGCACCAAAAAGACAAGCGTTTGGTAATCACATTTAAGCAAAGGATGACACCTAGCTACTCTTAAGTAGAAGATCAATTTTGTTCAATTTTATGGTAGTGCTGCCATGTGACATGTCAATTCATTTTAATTTTGCAATTGTTATAACTCTATTTTTTATTATAAAATTATATTACGTACACAGTATAGTTCTTTTAGCATTTTTTTGATTTTGTATATAGTTTTAGTATGGCATATCTAAAAATATAAAAGGATAAAAATAGATATTTAGAAGAAATAGATTTTGTTTTTCACATTTCAATTATGAGTCTGTTTGGTATCAAGAAAATCAAATAATTTGACTGATTCTGCTGAAATTTTGAATTTCTGGCTGAAGTGGCTGATTCTGCTGATTTAAAAAAATATTTTTAAATTATTTTATTAATAAAATATAGAAAAAATTATATATAAAAATAGCCAAAATACGCATCTACATAACTTTAGACAATAGAGCTAGAAAAGTAACCCCAACCTTAATTTTTTAGCTCATTAAACAATTCAGCGTGCGAAAGCAAAATTTACGTGTTTGGTGAAAAGAGTTGGCCACAAAAAAAACCCACTCTTTCGACTTCCATACATTTTTTTCTTGAATCTTATTTAAACAAAAACTAAAATTACCTGTAGATACCGTGCTCATCTTCATGACTGATGATGCTACAGTTCTGGCAACTCGATAGCGAAGAACAGTTCGCCTTCATCACTTCACAGCAGCTTTCTTCAACAACGCAATTGCCAAAGATGTGAGTTGTTTTTGGATTGGGTCCATGGGTAATCACACACGTGTAGTCCTCTGACAGTTCCATTTCACTCAGTGATAGCCCCTCTGGAGAAGAAGGGCATTCGCCGGCCTGAACGACAGAGCTCAACAATGGCGGCAGATTCCGGGGAGTCTTGATTCCGAAATCCCCCGGAGACCCCACCGGCGACTCCACCGGAGAAACCAGAGTGGGGATTTGAATCTTAAGTTTTGACCCAAACAGGACCTTATCTCGGCGCGAGTCCTCAATGAGAGCGAGGCTCACTCCTAACGAGTCGGGTCTCTTTTCGGTGCAAACTGGGTTTGGGTTTGGGTTTCGGGCCGGGCTAGATTTTTGGGTCAGGTTTGGGCTTTTCTCGTACCCGAGATGGTGACCAAGATTGAGGAATTGTTTGGCGTCAAGGGTTGAGGTGGGGCTCATGCTCATGCTGTGATCCAATTGGGAAGTTGTCCGACCCAGAAATCCGTTCAGGATTCGGGTCGGAGAACCCAAGAATGATGAAATGGGCTTTGCCGGGTTCCGGGTCGGAGAAGAAGACATATCTGTAGTCTCTGCCGCCATGAAACCTTTTCTGGAGCTTCTGCTGCTTTCTTTCCTTTACTAAATCTCAATCCTTCTTCTTTCCTATCAAGATTGATGCAAAATATAGCATAAAATCCAAAATATGAGTCTTTTTTGGAAATTCATTAAAGCGAAAAGCTCAGAAGTCCAAACAATAACTAAAGATACAAGCTTTACCTCTTAAATCAGAAGGGAATGACCCATGAAGAGGTAAAAAGCATTACTGGGGAAAAATGGGGCTGCAAAAGCTGTGCTAATATTCTGTAGACTCCATGGCTGAAGTCTTAAAGCCCATGAACCATACCATTAAGATGGGGCAGAGGGCTAGGGATGGGAAAAGGTTAGCAAGGGGAAATGATGAAGAGATGTTTTTATGCCAATTAATGGAAGGTAACAGTAGGCTTTATTGGTAGTGATTATCTGTGTTTTGTCGGGTTTCGTAGATTATGATATTGATGATGACAATGATGCAATCTCTATCCGCCATTTTTCACGCATTCATTCAAAGATGGGATGGGTATGTAGTCTCTGCAGCCAGGGGTAACTTCGTACTATCAGGTCACAACTACTCCACTGTAGCTTTGTACTGTTTGGAATTTCCCAATTTCCCCCTAGCTTCGTACTATCCTCCACTTTTCCTCGGTATTTAAATATCAAGGCTCATTTGTTTATGTATTTCACTATTTTGTAGTGTATCTAGCTCAGGTAATTGATATAATGAGAAGGAAGTAAGAATTATTTACAGTCATAATAACACTATTTAATTTAGTATAAGACATTTTTAGTTGATCGAAACGAAAAGAAAAATGAGAAAATCTTAATGTGATAGTGTTTCTTAATTTTGTGTTTGGGTTTTCTCCTTTGTTTCCAAACACGTCCCATCGCAGACGGCGTACTATTTTCTTCTTTTATTGCTTAAAAATTCAACTACTTACCTTTAAACAGTTTAAAGTATCCTTCTTTTTATGCGTGATCTTTCAAATGTGGGTTTTGAAGGTGGAGATTTGTCCAAAGACAAGGAAAATGTATAAAAAAGGTTGTGAATCACAAATTAATGAATAAAAAAGAAAGATGAGATTATTTTAGAACAAAAATGTTGGAAGGTAATTCAGGAATAGAGGAAATAGTTGATTTGTGTTGATCAAGCTTACAAAATTTAATAGGATGGAGAGAGTATAATACAGAGTAATATACTCCGTATTATCTTATTCCGTATATGTGATGTTGCAGTGACCATACGTGGCATAGTTGTAGGCATTGTTCTAAAAATCGGCCTAGGCGGGTCGATTAATCGGCCTAGGCAGCCTAGTCGGCCCTAACCGTAGAGGCCGAATCGGCCTAGTCGGCCAAAAAATCGCCCTAGTCGGCCTAAAAATCGGCCTAGTCGGCCGCCTAGGCGCTAGGCGCCCCTCAACCGCCCGACTAGCGCCTAGCGAGTTTTAGAACAATGGTTGTAGGTGGTCAACAAGGACATTGTGGTTATCTATAAAGCCCACATAAAGGTACTGTTTGACTACCATTTGAGAATAAATGGTACTCCCTCCGTCCCGAAATTATCTTCATTCTTTCCTTTTCGGTCCGTCCCGAATTTATCTTCTCTTTCCCCTTTTGGCAAAGGATTTGTGGTACACAACCATTCTTACACATTTCTCTCTCCTCTGCACAACTCTCCACCACACATTTCCCACTATCTTAATCCCCGTGCTCAGTCAAAACCGAAGTTAATTCTGGGATGGAGGGGGTATTCTATTTCAATGTATTCCGTATGCACATGAGACACCACATGCACATTAACCTTCAGCTGCACATTCGTGGTTGCGTTACAAGTACCAAAATATCATACAACAAAATTATTCTTGTTCTCATAGTTTTTCAAATGCGATTATTAAAAATAGAAGAGAGAATTCCCTAAATAGGAGTAAAAACGTTTTGAAATTCCAAAATAGGAGTATCATATTTTTTATTCCTTGAATATGAGTAATCTGCCAAGTTTGGGAAAAAATGCCATGTTTAAAAGCCTTGTAATGTCAAACTTGACAGAAATTTACTCCTATTCAGGGAATAAAAAACATGATACTCCTATTTTGGAAATTCAAAACGTTTTTACTCCTATTTAGGTCAATTTCTGAAAATAGAATTATGAAGTTTTTGAATTGAAACTTTAGGAAAGTGGTTGTGATACACTCTAAAATTGTCACTCCTGAATGAGCTAAAAACATTGACAGCCTCCGTATAACCTCGAAAGGAAAATCACAACATACGAATCATAAAATGGGTCATGTGTATCATAAACATAAAACAGTTTTAAAAATGCAACGGTACATAGAGGAAAGTAATATTTAATTTAGGGAATTTTTCGCAACAGGTCAAAACACTGAAAGTAATTTCAGTTTTTCAAATATAGACAAAGTGGAGTTTCCTTTTCAATAATAGACCCTACGCGTAAATACTCCGTAACTCCCAGTTCAACATGTTAATTCAAACACACAAAACACTGGACCCCACTGCCTTATTTATTTTGAGCTCACAAACTCGTAACTCCTAACTCCGTTACTCCGTACTTCCATTTTTTACTCTATTCGAAAACTATTTTTTTTATCATTTATTGAAAACTAAAATTAAAAGCAATATAAATAATAATAATAATAATAAATATAATAATAATAATAATAATTATTATTATTAGAAAAGTTGTTCTGAAATCTCAATGAAAAGATGTTACAAATTTTGACAAAAATGAAATTTTATACAAAATTGAAAGATCACAAAGTCTTTAAATTAGGAAGACAATGAAAAATTAGAATAGTTTTAAAAAACGTATATAAAACTGTTAGAATTCAATATATATTTTAAAATGTGGGAAAGCTGTTAAAATTACAAAAAAAAAATTGTAATGAATTTTTTAAAATACTTAATATTATTATTATTATTATTAGCTTTGATTTATTATTGTTTCTTTGTGTTTCTTTTTGTTGATAACTTTAAATTTTTTGTTTCTTTGTGTTTGTTTTTGTTTCTTGTTGTTGTTAATATTCATAAATCCAAAATTCTCTTTTTAGGTGATTGTAGATGAATCTTTATATTATTTTGTTATTTCAAAAAAGTATCAAAGAGAAGTAAAAATCTAAATAACCAACAAAAAGATCAATGTAATTTTGAATCGGAGGATACCAAGGTTACAAGGTAGCATCGGAGGGTACGTAGCTTTGAAGAACTTTGAATAGCGCGGAACAATGTAATTTGAACTTTGTGCAAAATATTTCCAATCATGAATTGAATACGAGATACTCCCTCCGTTTAAAAGATTCCCATGGGTAAATGACAAGTTTTTTAGGAAAATGGTTAAATAAAGTAATTTGGGTAGAAAAGATGAGAAAGAGAAATTTAAAAAAATGAAACATATAAAATGAAAGTAATTAAAGGGAGATGTAAAGATGTCATTACAAAGAGTAAATTATTTTCTAAAATGAAATAAGAACCTTTAAATGGGACACCCAAATAAAGAAAATGAGAACCTTTCAACGAAGAGAAGAGAGTACCTATTTTCCAAATGAGAATCTCTTCATTAACTTGATGAGTCAATCCACCTGCATACCCATCTTGATGTGTAAAACCGTGAAGAACATCATATCACATCGAAGAATTGAAGTAGTTTATCATGGAAGTAAGCTCACTACGCTCATATCTTGCCACCCTCGATCCATGGATCCGGAGCCTCTATGATACACCGCAGCCTCGACGCAGCACACGAGAACGGCTACCAAACTCCAGGTTTTTGAACTCGAACATCTACGTCAACTGCCTACACGCATGGATGGACAAAACTGGGAGCTACTGACGTGGAAGATCAGAATAATGTTTTATTAAATCATTACTTCCTTATTAATTTCATTATTATTACTTATCCGTTTTTTTTAGCATTAGTTGGGTAGCTTCCTATTTCCTTGGCAGTAAGTGAGTGGGTGGTTACACCCCACTACACCCATTACTTTCCCCATTTGTATTGTATTAAAACGGGAGCTCTGCTCCTGCAGAAGGCATGAAATGAGCATTACTCTTCTAGCCATCTTCTCCGAGCTCTTCTATCCGTGTTCTTCTTTTTCTTTTAGATTCCTGGGTATCAATTGGTATCAGAGCCCATGGCTACCCGCAACCTATCCAACACCGAATTTCGAAATGAAACATCTGAAGCGCTAGCTCGACATGAATCCCAATTCGACCAAATCAACCAGCGCCTGGACAGATGGGAGGCAAGGTTCAAACAGTTTACTCGCACCCTAGGAGAGAAGCTGTCAACGTCCGATGAGGACAACCCCTTTGCCGACGAGGACACATCGACACACCCTGTCCATACTCACCGGGCTTATGACCCCAAGATATTTTTCCCAAAGTTTGGTGGAGGAGATCCTACTGGATGGATCTACCAGTCCGAACAATACTTTGAGTATTATCACATCGTTGCTGAGCACCGCTTGCGCCTCGCTGCCATTAACCTGGAAGGCTTAGCATTACAATGGTATCGTTGGTTCATAAAGCGGAGGGGACCAGTGAGGTGGAAGGAGTTCACCCGCGCCCTTCGAGTCCGATTTGGGCCTACAGAATTCGAAGATCCGTCGGAGGCCCTATCTCGCCTCCGGCAAATCACCACAGTGGCAGCCTATCAAGAAGCCTTTGAGCAGCTTTCAAATCAGGTGGATGACCTCCCAGAAATTTTTTTAACAGGAAGTTTCATTGGGGGATTACGCGATGACATTCGACTGGAGGTTAAAACTAGGAAGCCACGAACGCTGGAGGACGCTTTTGGACTTGCCCATTTGGTAGAAGAAGAACTACTTGTCAGCAAGTCGGGACTTTGGCGGTCTAGCAGCAGCAAACCGTTCCAACCGTCTGCCACCGTACGGCCTAATACATCGGCCGACATACTAGGCCCTCCTCCGAACAGTGATGATAAGAAACCGGTTGCACCTATCAAGAGGCTGCCTTGGGAAGAGATGCAACGTAGAAGGTCCCTTGGTCTATGTTTCGCTTGCAACGAACCATTCACGGCAGGACATCGTTGTCAACAACCCAAGCTCCTGTTACTTGAAACTGAAGACATCGAGAGGGAGGATGAACCCTCCTCGCAGCCCAATGACAATGTTCAGGAACCTGAGATCACACTAAACGCCTTAACGATATGGTCTGGACCACGAACCCTCCGTCTTCGTGCAACCATAGCCGGGAGACCACTGCTTCTTCTAGTGGATAGCGGATCCACACATAACTTCATCCAGGATAAACTGGCCCAAGCAATGCAGTTACCCATGACACACTCGACTGACTTTAACATCCGCATAGCAAATGGGGA